ACTGGAATGTTTCCACTGATGAAGGCCGCCACACAACAATCTTCATAGGCAGGGCGGAAAGCTGGAAAGTTGATCTTGAGGGTATTTTGTCCATGACAAGTTTTCAGGGCGCATCTATCCGCCCGCATATGTGCAGCAGAGGGTAAGGGGCTGAGGAGGGGAGAGAAAGACTTAAGCACCATGATACTTGAGCACAAGCAACGCTGGATCGTCCATCATTTTATTCGCTAGAACGATCTACTGGTAATCGTTAGCGGTTTGTGTTCTAATACATCTCATGCGCTACTGCATGAACATAAAACTGTTGATCTTGCAGCATTTAGCAAATAAACGAAACGCCATTTCGCGCATTTTAATAGCACATTTGATTCGAGCATCGTTTAACGATGTGTTAGATCTTCAGATCTTATGAAAACCCTTTCAGACTCTGATGAACATAAATTAATCAACATCTGAAGTAAGTTTAATGCTAGGCCTTAAGTACTGCTCCGTTGCATATATATTTTCCCTTTGCCTGGAGGAAGTGAATTTTTCTATAGCACCTATGTTGCAGCACCTGAAAATCATTGTTTTATTGAAATATGAACTCCTCGTACACGGTTTCGAACAGATGCATCAAGGAACTAGGTGTCATTAAGCCTAAGCAAAGCTCTCTGAGTGGTAAAACTTTAAATATGAACTTGTAGACTGAGTTGTACAGTTATTTAGCACCTTTTAACTCTGTTTTCTAGGAAATTACGAGAGACCCATGTGGCACGGATAATCCACAGAGGGATGATGCAGTGGGTAAAAAACGAAACAGTTAAAGTACCGTGATCATACTGTGTTCAGGCCACTTCTTAGAATACCTTAAATACCCTGCCAAGTATTTTGCCGATAAATGACTGCATTATCACTCCACGAAACCTGTTGCTCGGACGAATCGCAAAGAACAACAGTTGAAAGCGTGCAACAGCGCTGGCTTAGATGCATAATGGGGCTAAAATACAGGACTAAGCTACGAATATCTCTATTCTTTCCTGAGCACGGTAGAACCAGAAGTCGAGAAAAGAAGGATGAAGGTCACCACCATGCCTTGCAAACTATGTTTGAGGTCGTGCTCCTCATTCCAAACTGCAAGATTATCATGTTAGAACCAACAGCGAACGGACTTCCACACGGAAATCAATATCGACTATGAAAGGACATGTAAAGGCAGAGCAGCGTTTGACTATAGACTGTTTCCACAGGTTGCAAAAACAGGTTTAAAGCAAAAGGTACGATAAACAAGGAATGTACCAAATATATGCAACAGTGACTCGCATGAGTAAACAGCAAACAAAACAGGTAAAATAAACAGGTCAATAAGCTGTAGAAAATAGCTACTTAAATTCGTAACTTTTCTTGTGGGGGGGTTGGTGGTGCAAACGACCAAGAAGGTTGTAGCAAGTCACTGACTTGCGTGTGCAATAAGGACACCATGGTATTCTGATGTTGTCACAGCAGAAACGGTAAACAAACCTTAAATCTCAAACTTTGACGCAAGTTCAAGTGTTGTTGATAAATACATGATCCGGAAACATGTAACATGTCAAAAAGCAGTGATCTTACTTTCTTGAAGTTGCCACAACATTAGAAGGAACATTACAACGCCGTGTGACGTCAACTCAGAAAATATCACATGGCAGCACAGTTCTTTGTAAAAATACTCTTTTTTAGAAAGCCCGTTTCGCTCTTCGGACATTGGGTTCGAGAACTAACCGCAGCGTTGGACAAGAGAAACAACCGACAGGTAATCGCTATGAGTTAATGCAGTGAAATAACCGGACGTTTTTTAAAGTGGTAGTGACGAGGTGAGTGACGGAGTCGCTAGGTCTTACTTCACAAAACGACGCAAAATGACTCACTATTCGGATATGTCTTTATTTACTTTTTTCCAAATGTTAAACTGCGCCGATGGGCAAACAAAAGTTCAAGCCATGCGGTGAATGACTCATTTATCTAACGCGAAACAACACGAAGAAGCGATGGACTAGCAGTCAGCAACACCACGGCGTTACTTTTTATCCGGACGGTAGAGAGATCGCTTAGCAACCATCAAAATGTGGGAAGGAGCGATCTCGTAGCCCCTTAAATCACTCCTTCCTTGTGGACTATTCGAAGTCATCGTCCTTCGTAACAAACAGTCGATATGGATATGCAACTGTAAGGGGTCTTTGTCGTTAAGATATATGCATATGCATAAATTATATGCATACGCGAAACCGAAATTACGATGGCACACAAAATCTGATCCGAGAACACAGATGACTAATCCCTGTGCTGACAACACACAACTGCGGATATTGCTTTCGTAAATAAGCAATATTTGCCGATGGCACTGTAAACAAAGCAGTCCGTGCAATGAAGGATGCAAATGACTACGCATAACACGACGAACTGTGCAAAGATGAGATCGCGTATCAAGACTCTTTCCTTTCATCCTACGGTCAAAATCATAAAAGCAGCCATTTTCTGCGCAAGGCAAATGATAACGAAACAACCATAGGCTCAATCCATTCTTAGATTCCCAAAAGCCTCTGTGGTTCATGTCATATTCTATCGGTCGACCATGGACCTTATTATCCTTGCTTGTATTTTGACAATCCAATTATACCCTTGTCCCCTGCAGTGGGGTATTGTGGGGGCGCTGAGGCAGTGGGCAAGACGTCGGCTTTGAACTTCGGAGGTCAAGGTTAGAAACGCATGTGCAACAAAACGATTTCTCTTCAGGGTTAATTTTCTTGGGCAAAGAAATTTCTCTCAATTTGTTTCGGTACAACCAGCCGAAAAACGGGTATGAGGTCGTTGATTGGTGAAGTGAACAACAACAGGGACAGCAAGGTGCTATGCTACGGGATTCACCTCATAGTGGATAATCATAACCGTGTGTCAAGCGAATTTTTTCATAGTGCGAACGGCAACAGACCATTGCAAACCTATGACGTCATCATTTGGTCATCGCAGCAACGGAACGGTCTATTTACCGAGCTCATGAGTCGTCGTTGTTAGTCGATAGTCGGTTGGCGGGCCGGCCCAGTGGCCAGTCACAACTACGAGGACAGCGCGCAACAGCCTCGGCATTAGCACAAGAATGGACTGAGTCATCTGGCAAGCAGGCGAGGAGACTGAGTCATGCATGCATCGAGAATCGAGAGTCAGACGCAAACATTTAGTCCTTCAGGGCCAGTGGTGCGCGCGAACGAGCACAATTGCCGTTGCATAGAGACGGACGACGACTAGACGACCAATTCAGCTGGCCTGTGCCACCACCCACTCTTCGCCAGCGAACAATGAAACGGACGAAAAACTGAGTTTTTGAATCGTTCAAACACAATGATCTGCAGTGGGTCAGACTACGACGCCAGAACAGCTGAAGCCGGCGAAAAGTAACCCAATAACTGGGGAACGTCAAGAGACGGACATGTGGTGTGTGTTAGTCACTTTGAATGATCAGGCGAGGAAAGCCACAGATAAGATTATGGAGGAGAGGGGGGGGGGGTCAACCGTTATGACCCAGTGTCGACTCGATTCCAACGTCTTTACTGAACCAACGATGGAAGGCGAACCTCTTAAAAAATGCCAAACGCACAGGAAGAGCCTTTCACTAGCAATCTCCACAATGAGGAGGTCAAAAACGGTGCCAGTAAACAATTTGTTGGGGAGTAAAACATGAGAACAGAAGCTGTCTAGGAAAGATGCAGTACTACCCTGGATGAACAGCCACTTCACTGGCTTTCAACACGATAGGCATGGT